GATTATTATTATTATTATTATTATTATTATTATTATTATTATTAACAGCCGTTACAGTAAGTATGCACAGTACGTGAACACAGTATGCCGCCAGTGCAGCACCGCTACAAATAAAGACAGGACAGCCGCACCAGTGTAGTCATACTGTAGATCCGCCGTTCCCCTTTTCAGTGCGAGCAGAAGTGCGGGGCGTAAAAAACAGTCTTTGACACGACGTTGTTGAACCATTAGGTAGCCTGTGTCGGTACTTGGTCGTTAAAAACGCGTCCTTGGCAAATGAGTTGGGGTCGCTTATGAAACCTCCCATTTAGTGCTAGGTGAGATATTGTGAGATATTGTGAATAAACTTAAAAGTAGAGTCGCTTTTTTGTCTTGACGTTACTACAGTTCCTTTGGTAAAATTATAATAATGATGTGTCGGTGAAATACTGTATATCTGTATGTAACGTCTATGTATCCGGTACATAGAAACGCAGTTTAAAGTCTTCAAAGTATGATGTAGAATTTTCTAAACACTTCGCCATAAATGACCTTTTGGTTACACCAACCAGATAGATTTTTAGATTAGTCTTATTTTCAAAATCTACGCCTCAATACGACTTTATGGATCTGTATATATAATTTATGAAACACCACACAGAACTAAGACTTTGTTCATGAAAATCCTGATATCACCGTTAGGTTAATATGTAAACATTATATCCTGACGCCAACACGGAAGTGGGTTTTCAGATGTACAGTACCTTCCTAAGTACAAACAGTAGAAGATGGAAGGACATTTTTTATACTTTGAAAATTGTGAAAGAAGGTTAAGAAGGTTTCATTAGTGAAAGAAGGTTTTCTTCTTCATTCGTTAAAAAGAGTTCTATTTTAATGACTATAATTGCACAAATCTTGATTGACGTTAAATTGAATTCTGTACCAATATAAGAGTCAATATAAAATCATATATCAATATTAAATCTTTTCTTTTTTCCACTCCATTTATTACGCGTCCAAACAGTAGCTATATAACAATCAGCACTATTTTTAATAAACTGTTGCTGTTGTAGCCATGAAAAAGCATCAACCAGTAGGTTGCTTTTACACTCAGCTACTAATGCATGTAATTCACTCTGAGAAAACACTGCGAAGTTAACTATAGATCCTTGCTCCTAGTCGTAATGTAGTCGAGTGTAAAAGAGTATATTTACTCTTTTGCTTCGTTCATTTTTATTAGAACATCACTAAAACCACTGTTTCCGAACATTCAAATAGGAATAATTAATTTAATGTCTTCAGTGTACACTGTTGTTTTGACCAGCTAATTTATTATTAGACCTGCAATTTTTTTTTCACTGGGGTTAAGGTAGAATATATTCCTAGAGAAAAATGGCATAATGCACAAAGTCATGCTAAACAACCTTTCTCAAAGCCTTTGCTTTACCCAGTTTTGAATAGCAATCAAATACAGAAGTGTTCATCCTGTATAATAATATAAGTGTAGAGACTGCAATATACTTTATGTATGCAGCATAATAATTTTCAAAGTAATATGCAACACAGCAATACACGAATGGTATTTAATATTTGTAATATAATTACATAATTGCATTTTTTATATATATATAATAATATAATGGTCACACAAAGGCGGAAGCAATGGCAAGTATTCCCGAAAGTATTGCAAAACCAATTATGAAGAAGAACAGTATAAGGAAATAGTAGACAATGTAAAATATTTGGACAAGCAAGAATTTTCCTTAAAATCCTAATACTAATGATTATGGACTTTAAGGTGGCCAGTCATCCCAGGTACCCCGTTTCTGGTATATTACTCTTTCTGATTGGTCATGGGAGGTGTCATGTAGGATGGTGTTGTGTCAGAGTTAATTTGTTGTAATGTTGAATGGTATAGGCCCATGTGGGGATTGCAAGGAGAATTAAATTAGGGATCAGATAACAGGGCAGGAAAAACACAAGGAGTGAACGAGTTAGGGCTTAGTGAGAGACCAAAGGTGGGTACTACAGATATGGTCTATTCATAAAAATATGGCTCGTTGTCGGCCTGTTCTTTTTGAGTGTGCCTGGCATATGACATAATAAAATATTCGTCAGTTTACAAAGTTCCGTCCTTATTGTCTTAGTGTAAAGTCCCCTTAATCAGTGAACAGTTATATATCAGTGTGAAACTGCTATACAACTGTCTTTCCCAAGACAATGAGGACTAAGGCCATAAAGGCAGAAGATATAAGTGAAGTGGGAATTATCAGCTTACTTTATGGTGATCCCAAATCATTTTCTCACCTTGACATTCTATTGATGAGTGCAGCAACCCAGTGGAGACCACAAGAAGCTGGAGGCCCAAGAGCCAGTAACAACAGTGGTCATACAATAGGATGCTACAGTATGAGGGTTATGTGAAAGTTGCGGATATGGAGAAGGTGTTGCCCACACAGGGGTTAGGCCCTATTGAATCAGTCCTGAACCCTGTAGGTACTGGAAAACAGGAGCTGTCAAATTCAAGCATTCCCACTACTTGACTAGTACAGTAGGTGCATCCCAAGATCCCAACAAGACAGATGATCTGGGTTTCTGTGGGCTTTTTAAAAACTCCCTTGTTTCTGAAATATAACCTCAATATGACCCTTTCCATGGACAAGCCCCAGTGTTTTATTATTAAAATGAAGAACAAACCTGCACCTTCTCAAAAAGTAATATATGCTTTTCTCTCAAAATAGTAGTTTATATGAATTTTTCATAATGGCATTATCATAACAATAATTAATTATAACTTTTTATACCCATTACTTGTTTTTTTAATATTTACAAAGATAAGTATAATTAATTATTTCTCACAATCATTTTTTACTGTTTTTCATAATTGTTACTCATTATTAATGGCTTCATGTGCAATCCATCCTTTAAATTTTAATTTTTACAGGCTAAACAGATTCAGGCAGCATGTTGAGAATTTGATCTAGAATAGCAAAATTTTCACAGGTTGAATGTTCACAGGATCCACTAAGAAGAGGAAACAACTTGTTCTGTTTGTCCTGAAGCGATTAAGTTTAGATATCATGTGCCCTGTCACAATCAGAAATTAGCAAAGATTCTTATTGAAAGAAAAAGATGTTAAAGAGGTCAAAGATACATCTGTAAAACACCCGCTAAAGTACAATTTAAATAATTAAAATCAAAGATCCTACCATTAGTTAAAAATCATTTCTTACAGTATGTTCTGCCTTTAACCCACAGCTGTCATAAAAATGAAATTCAACAACCCAGTGCAGCAAGACAAAGCCATATAAGAAGCAGCCCATACTAAAAAGTGTTTATTATTACAGGTTTATTTTACAAAGTATTTTACAACAGTATTAATTGATTTATTTTATTTTACAAAATATTTATATCAGTACTCATTGATATATTGTATTTTACTTTTAATTGGATAGCCCTACCATGAGTTGAGTTTTCGGATGTGGTTGCTATTGGTGTCTGTGACATTAGTCACGGTCCGGAGGAAAAATAAAACTAAACATTTTGATTACAGTACATGCATTGCTGTGGAAACGCGTGCCGTGAGTGTAGTGTCAAACGTCAACTTTTGAGTTGCTCTTACTATAATGCTGTGACAGACTAAGAAAATAACCTTTTTATTATACAAATCTAGACTTTGAAAAATAAAAAAATATTAATCATATGATTCAGCCTCGGAAAATAAACGCAAAGCTTTCTCACAATATTAAATGAAAGTGACCAAGCGAAAAAAAAGCTCTAAACTGACTGCGCCCTCTAACCGGTGTTGTCATTTAGTGCAAGTCTGTGTTTTCACTTCACCATGGGGTTGTTCCGAGTCCACCTACTTTGTGTCACAGCACAGTATACTGCGTTTTCTTTCACAAATCGCTTGTGAGGGGCTTTTGCTTCAAGTTACAGAGGGTACGTTTAGAAATTAACCAACTCTAAATTAAAGCTTCACAATTAAATACAAAATGTATAAAATAAGACTACTAAAAGCGATGTATAGCATATGAAAGGGTCAAGTAACCTTTGGCTAACTTTATTCCTCATCTAAAAATGTATTACAACAATTTGCACGAGAACAGTGTTACACAATTTAAGATTACTACATTTAAGAATTCGTCTTTTCCAAATACTGCAACATTTCTACGTGGCATTAAATAAAAATGGATACATGCGATGAACGACAAAACGTTTGTTTTTTTAATGGAATAATAAAAATAAGTACCCAAATAATGACACAGCGAGGACAAGATAGTAAAATCTCTCTACGGTTTATGGGTAGTTAGAATAAAACACGTTAAATCTCGCTTTCACAGTACGACTTTTTTTTCTCTTAAACGCCTGTTTGCAGCACATTGTACAATTCTGAGTTATGACACAAACGAGAGCACCTAGGAGCGCTTCACAGTAACTTCTCAAAAATGAGCCTAAGTGCTGAAAACCAGCACCGCTAAGGGCAACACATGGTGCAGCGCACAACAACCACAGAGGAACACGAGAGAACAGACAACCCAGGGTCCTACGAAACCGCTGCAGCTGCTCATGCCAAGTCCATTCTTTTAATTGTTTACATTGTCCTCGGTAACAATACCCCCTCCCGCTTGAAACAAATGTACACATAGTTTAATAATTGCGTTTAGCGGGGATTGGACTGAAAAAGGCGCCTTCCCCTGCAAGCTTGGAAAGGTTTGTCAAACGCGCCTGCGCAAATTCACGGCGCCAAATTTAGCGGGGAGGGAGGGCCTAAGTGCTTTTGTTTGATGGAATCTGTTTACAGTCTCTCTACTCTTTAATCTCAACCTGCTTCCTCCTCCTGACTATACTACACACACTTTGGCAGAACACTTGCAGCAACAGCCACTTCTTCCGTACCTTGATCATGGCTAGGCGGCCAAGACATAGGTATAGTAAATCGTTTCTCTCTTCTGAGTGCAAAATGCTATCTTGTATATATTTCTAAATAGCATTTGGAAAAATATGGTTTATGATTATGGGAATTTGATTTTTTCTTACATGTATTGGATTTTAATTCTCATGAAATTATGTTTGAAACTATGATCTTGAGCGCCGATCTAAATGTAGGAATAAGGTACTCGTGAGAATGGGACTTGGAAGTTTTATTCGGCTTATGTTAGTTACTGAGCATTTTAACAGTTAAATTGGACAGTTTTTGCGCTGGCGCTGAGATGGACAGGTGAGCATATGGCAGATGTTGTTTGACTTTGAAACACCGAACTTTGTTTTGTAGCTGCAGGTTGTTCATTTAAATTTCATTCATTCTCTGTGGAGACAGGTTGTGCGTGTAAGGTGACAGGTGGGCATTCTGGATAGTACAAGGCTTTTAGCAATTACTTCTTATTAATAATTTAAGGACGTGCTTTAATAATTATTTTAAAAGATACAAAGAAGTGTTCGATTGAAGAAGTTGCGTTTTATTTTTTCTCTCACGTGTCCTTGGACGATTTTTTTCCTGTTTATTACTGTATGTGGTGGTCTTTTTATTGTTGGCTACGTATTATATTCGGTCTTTTGTATTTGTTTTATAAAATCCGAAGCTCATTGTTTAAAGGACTTCCTAAAAATGTTTAGGCTACGTATTGAATTCCACGTTCAGCGTCTCTCCTTTACTTTATTTCACAAGTTATTTATGTAATCAATAAGAAAAAAATCTTAATTCTGCATTATTGTCACAGTTAAGTATGTTTAACTGATATGCAGCGGGTAAAAGTAATACATGAACTGCTGTGAACATCACCTCGGTTATATCCTACACAGTCAACGCATTACTGCCTAACACTTCCATCAGCGCGATGTGTCAAATGTGTCAGCCACTAAGCAGCTCTTTTGAGACTGCCAATGTCAGTGTTGCGTTCTTGCTCCCAGTCTCCCCTTGCATTGAAGCTTTTATAGAAGTAGCCTTCTCATAAAAAATGAAGAAGTAATTGTGCGCTCGCTTGTGGTTTTGTAGAGTTTAACTGTGCGATATCTGTTTATCAAATTAGGAGAAAGCGTTCAATCATTCCTTGCCCTTCCTATGCCCGTCATCCTCGCGTAGACTCCCGTTAAAACCCCTAATGTCTAATTAATTACAGTTAAATAATGCATTTTTGTGTTAAAAGCGCTTTGTTAGCTGGTACCGAAAACCTTTTTAATGTTAATTTGTCAAAATGTGTAATTCAGATTGCGAGCTCGTAGTCGTCATTGTGTTCTTAGTTTTTTTTTCTAGTACATTTTGTCTCGTCTTTACAGAACAGTTTGAGTCATGGCATCGTATTTGATTTGGAACTTTTTTTGTTTTTATTAGATAATGTACCGTTTCTGGATTTCATGGAATATTTAACAGTTCATATGTTTACTTTAAGCTGCCTTGATACTTTCACTAAAGAAAAGATTATATATGATTTATGTAAATAAGTGGCACAAGATCATCTTTTTAGTTTTTCTTTGTTATACAGCCCATGATTGTAAAGGGTTAACTGGCTTTATAGCGCTTGAGTACACAAAGGACATTATCTCCGGCTAGAATTTAGTATCCTGCACATTTCACTTTGTTTTGAAGACTGATTGGTTGAATGCATGCCAAATGTGTGATTATCCTGTTTTCTAACAATACATGTGCAGGTCTCAACATGCAGAAGTCATGAAAAAATAATTAGCATTGCCAATCCCCTCAGATGTATCTGTGGAAACCAAAAACATTAGAACCAGTTTTTCAAAATATGTACCTTATGTCTAACTTTGCCCAACACCTGAACCTGCAAGATTTACAGGTTTTGTCACTACAGGGGCTTTTATTATACCTTTATGGAACCTTAGTAAAAGAAATGGCCTTTTATTTATTTGCAGTTTCCCACAGTGTTGCTCATTCTGTTTTACAGTGTTTACAGTAGTGATGATGAAGAAGAAGAAATTGAAATGTATGATCACGACTATGATGGACCATTGCCAAAATCCGGGAAACGACATTTAGGCAAGACTAGATGGACACGTGAAGAGGTACGAAAATGTTAAAAGCAAAACAAAAATTGTGCTGCCCTTTTATCATCCTTCAGAAGGGTAAGGGTTGCAGTGAATATTAATGTTGACAGATCACATTGATTATCTCCTAAGGTACAGGGAGGTAAAATTGGCCCAAGTCTGAATATGTCTAAAGAGTAAGAAATATAGTTAACTAGTAAGGTAGTTTTGATTGTTAACAGTCAAATACAGTGTGTACAAATAAGTATGTGAGACTTATCTTTATTTTGTGTCTGTGGTCTGACTGCATCTTATGTGCTTAACAGCATACTTTAAAAATCTAACTGGAAACAGCTTTTGTGAGACAGTCCATTGTAGAACTTAACAGTAGCTTTTTATTTGATCATTACATTTGGTTTTGTTTTGTTTTTTCCAGGACGAAAAATTAAAGAAGCTTGTTGAAAACCATGGCACTGAAGACTGGAAAGTTATTGCCAGTTTCCTTCCTGTAAGAAATAAGTCTTTCTTAACTATGATATATTCTATCTCTGACATCTCTCTGACAGCTTTATCATTCCCTCCACGTTGATAAGGGAAGGGATAGAAGAAGCAGGCCTTTCTGTCAGAACATACTTTTTTTTTCTCTAGAGGAGAAGTTGTATAAGTAATTGAAGGATTTGGAAATGATTTGGCACCACGTGCTCAGCCACAAAAGTGGTGGTTTGAACACAAACAAACCACTGAAGGCCTGTTGTTTACAAAGATGGTTTATCATATTACCCAGTGTGTTCCTTCCATTAAAGTGCAGCAAATTGGATTGCTTAGGTATTTGAATAACCAATATAAACATCAACAATTTTCTTGGAACTGTTTTTAATTAAAAAAAAAAAGCTGATTATTGTTTTTTTATTGACCTATGTAAAACTGTTTACAGTTTTTGATTCATCCATTTATTTGAAAGACTTGATGTACAGTTTGTTGTCCATGAGGCAGGGAATGCACATTGAGAACTAAGACCCTGATCTTCAGAACCACAGTGCACCTGTGTTCTGGCATGGATAGCAGACATGAAGATTTCATTTCTCCAAAATAAAACTTTGAAGTAGTTTATAGACTAAGAATTAGAAACTAAAAATGTTTCATTTCTAAAATACAAAGTGGGTTTTTGGCACCTGTTATTTTCATTAGCACCAGCAGAGCAGCAGTGCTTTCTAACGAACGAAAAGAAAATACCATCCAGTCTTATTTACTGAAAAAAACTCAGAATTGACATTCTTTGCTAATTGACTTAGTGTTCAGATGACCCAACAGCGGTTGGATCGCATGCTCATGAAAGATGCACTTTGTCTTCTGTCAAAATCTTACTAATAAGTGTAATTTATTTTGTCAAAACATACTGTAAATGTAAACTAATACTCTTTAATATTTCCATTTAATAGAATCGGACAGATGTGCAGTGCCAACACAGGTGGCAGAAAGTATTAAATCCAGAACTTATTAAGGGTCCTTGGACTAAAGAGGAGGATCAGAGGGTAATGACATTCACTTTCATTTAATTGTTTTAAAAAATTCCAGTATGCGACAAAGTAGATATCCAACATTGACAAAGCCATTCACCAGTTTTGCTTCTGTTGCTTGCAGGTGATTGAACTTGTGCAAAAGTACGGCCCCAAACGCTGGTCAGTCATTGCGAAGCACTTAAAGGGCAGAATAGGGAAACAGTGCAGAGAACGGTGGCATAACCACTTGAATCCAGAGGTGAAAAAGACATCCTGGACAGAGGAAGAAGACCGAATTATTTATCAAGCACACAAAAAACTGGGAAACAGATGGGCTGAGATTGCTAAACTGCTACCTGGGAGGTAATCTGGCAACTGTGAAAATAAAGACATACTGACTTACTTTATGAACTTTAACAAAGAGAAATGTCTGATAATCTTGTGCTGGGGATGGTCTTAGAATCAGTTTAATACTGCTCTCATCTCTACTTTTCATTTGAGATTCAAATTAAAGTTATGCGAGATTCATCAGATGTACTGTGGTTTGCAAAGACTTTTAGATAGGTATAGTATATACAGGTATATATATTCTTCAACTGGTTAGTGGATATCAGTTTGTAGAGATATGCCTTGAATTATGCAACAGCATGTCAAAAGTTGAAGTTTCCAACGAAACCAGAAATGTATAACCTTACCTTAAAACATAATAAAGCTCAAAACGCTAATGCCTTAAGATTTGACGCTTGTGAGGTTAAGCAAAAGGGCCTGTTTTTTTAAACCTCAAGTCTTCCAACCACAGTACTTTCAGAGCTGTTGGTTATGAAGTGCTGGGTGTGGGTTCTAGGCCTTGTGTGTGATAGGTTCTTTCTGTGTATGTTTTGAATTTATGTTTATGTTTGCACTTCAGTTTTACTGTGGATCACATGACTTGTAATGTGCTTTAACACCAACACCAGATGCTACATAAAAATGTATTGTACTTAAAAATGTACCATAGGGTAAATAATCAGGATGCGACTGTATCTACTGTTAATGTTTTTGGTATGAGGTGCAAAACACTTGTTTTTAATAAACGTTTTTTTTTAATATCTTCTTGCACAGGACTGATAATGCTATCAAGAACCACTGGAATTCCACTATGCGCCGAAAGGTTGAGCAGGAAGGTTATCTACAGCACACCCCGAAAACAGGCCCGCCAGCGCTAGCCACAAACTATACAAAGACCAACCACATAATGGGTTTCGCCCATTCATCCCCACCCTCTCAGATACCAGCCACACAGTCCCCAATAAATGGAGACTATCAATACTACCACATCCCAGAAACACCGCGGGTAAGCTTTGACTTTAACACAGACCAGTATATACAGTGCATTTTAGTCCAGTTCTGTATTGGAAGCTATTGCATGTTAAAATGTTCAGTTTCAAAACAGATGTATTAAAGGCCACATAATAATGCTGTGCCTGGTAATGTGGATAGATTTTGACATTTTACTTTACAAAAGCATAAAAGAAACATGTTAAAGTCTTGCATCAATGAAATATCTGGTGCTTTTTTGTTCTTTCTTAGATTTGTAAAAAACTTCAAATTTACTGCTCAGTCTAATTCTCATTAGGCATCTTCATCTGGTATAATCTGACTGCCTGCTATCTATACAATAATTCAAGCTGTGTTCACATGTTTCTAAATAAGAACAACTTGTTTTCTAATTGTCATTTGAAATTTCTAAAGTATTTTTAGTGAATTAGTAAGCCTGTTCTACTGTGCTTCGAGCAAACATGTTCCTTTTATGATTTTAGATTCCTGGTCAGGTGCCCTTTCCTGTGGCTCTGCATGTCAATATACTTAATGTCCCTCAGCCTGCTACTGCTGCTATTCAGGTATGTCACAGTCAAATATCTCTTCCAGTTTGGAGAATTGATTAAAAGACCCGTTGGGGATGTAGTAAGCCACATAAAAGCTACCGTGTGTTAAAAGTTAAATTAAAAAATTTCATATCAATCTTTTTTCATTGGGGATTTAGGTTGTATTTCTACCTTTGAGGGAAGGAAGAAGGGAGATTCCACAATGTCAGATAGAATTGATGCAGTGCAAAAACAATTAGGCATTGAAACTAATATTATGTATAGTACCCAGACAGCTTTACATTATCAGTTATAAGAAGTAACCCTTTTTCCCTTACCTTTGGATTTGGCTTGACCTCATCAAAAGGGGTTGAGTACAAGCACAAGTCTGAAGCTTTATCTGTTCTTTTCCCTTGACTCTTAATTTCAGAGACACTATAATGATGAAGATCCTGAGAAAGAGAAAAGAATAAAGGAATTAGAGTTGCTACTAATGTCGACTGAGAATGAACTGAGAGGGCAGCAAGCATTACCAGTAAGATTATTACTGCGTGGTTTGGATGAAGGGACAGCAGCTTCACCCCAGTGCTTCACTTTTTCGCCTTTCAATCTAAAAAAACTATGGGGAGGCTTACCATTCTAATCTGCTTGAATTATTCTACAGTTTGTAACTGAGAAAGAATTGGATACTGTTAAGTACTGTACACTCTGCCAGTATAACTTTAGCAGAATGTACTTGAAGGATTAATTTACTGTATTTTTCAGGATGAATCATAGTTCGAAGTATCATTTGGTTATTTCGAGTCTGTAGAAGTACAAAAGTGCTTAAAGCCTCTCCACAGTTTTGTGTGCATATGTGTAGACTGCTTTATTTTGATTTTTTTTCTAATTTGAAATGCTCCTCAACAGTTGAGTTGATTATATTAACCTTAATCACCTGCAGACTGTTTTAACTAAATTTAACTCATCTGTATGTGCATGCAAAAGTGTCCCAAAATATTTCAAATTGATTTTTGTCAAGGTTTAAATTGATTGTATGATATTCTGTCTGCCCTTTTAAAGCTATGAATTGCATGTTGTTTTCCGCATGCTTTTTGTTGTTTACTAATTGGCGTTTCCTCATGTATTTTAATTTAAATTCCATATGGCTGATTTTAGCAAAACCTGAAATCTGTCAATTAGATCTTCTGTTTTCTTAATTTAAACATCATTTACCCACTTCTTTACTTTGCTGCCTTGGTGTGAACTGCAGCGATAGGAAAGAGAGTCAGACAGAGTCAAGTTTAATGACAAAGATGAGCAACTCGAACTCTTAAAAAGGGGGACAGTTTTCCTACCACACTTCTTCTGAAAGGTGGCATTGAATGCTGAATAACATTGTGGCCTTTCCTCCCTGCAAGCTTTTTCAATACAATATTCATTCAGTTCATGCAGTGTGAAAATCCTTTAACATGACTTGCAAGTGAAATCTGATTCAAAATGTTTGTGATGTATACTAGCTTAATTTGATTTAAAAAGTGCTTTTAATCTTGACATTATTTGAAACCTGTGGGTAAAGTATCCAGTGGTTCCTATATTGTTTTTTGGCATTTAATGCAAGGAAACATCTGGGGGGCTATTTCACATGCAAACTGCTGAAGTGATGCAATCATTTTATCTTGCCTTAAACAGTATCTAACACCTTGTGCAACCTCTCTGTTAAGTTCCTTTTCTTTGCCTTCACAACACAGAGTCAGATGCCAAACTACTCAGGATGGAATGGGGCCACAATGGCTGATAGTTCAGGAACTCATGGGGATAGTGTTGCCATTTCCTGTTTAGGAGAGCAGCACCAGCAGGCAGCACCCCCACCGCCCCTGGACCATGGCTGCCTTCCTGAAGAGAGTGCCTCCTCTGCCCGTAGCATGGCAGCCACCCAAAATAATGTCCTGTCTCCTCTCCCCGAATACATAGATTCAGTAATTGACTCGGTAAGTTGACTTTCCGATTGGTTTTCTGACTAGTGACCAGTCAAAGTTATGCTTATGATTGTTTGTACTGTATATGTTTAACGTTATTTTGTAAAGTCAATAATTATTGACTTATTTTATACAGTAATTGCAGTTACAGGCACCCTGCTGAGTGGAAGCCCTTTCCCTGGGTATTAATTATGCCCTTTACAAATGGCTTTAATTTTTGCTGTCTGTCAGTGTTGATTTTGTGGAAGTTTGTAGATAGTGTCAAATCTGGCAGTTTTCAAATGCAAATAAAGGATCCATCAGCAGAGCTCCGTCACTGTGTAAGGAATGAGGCCGCCCCCAATTGTGTCTTAAGATCCGTGCCTCCCCAATCTTTTCAGGATCCCTCCACTTGGGCTGAACTCAGCAGTTTTGAACTCCTTGATGTTGCCGATGCTTCGCCTTGCAAATCTCCATCCGTCAAATGCACAGAGCTACAGCAAAAAGAAAGCAGTGTATGCAAGAGTAACGAACACACTAACGCAAACTTAAGCAAAGCCTCACTGTGTCAGGGCTCTCCTGCTTCGCTTGGGTCATTGTCAGCCTCAAAGTACTGCGTGTCGCCATCAGTCAGTCTTCGCAAATGGAAAGGGGATGTCAGTCACTCGGCCAGTGGTGACAGTAGCATCTTCACACTAGTAGACTTCAGCTGCTCCACTCCCAAGTGTTCCCCAGTCAAAAGCCTGCCTTTCTCACCTTCGCAGGTAGTTGAACAGCGATTGTAACAGTTGAGAGTGGGTTAACAATTTAGAAACTAATCTTAGGAGACAAATGACTAATCAATATGGCACTTGTTGATTATTGTTAACCAGGTATTTTCACCTACCCCTTGCTATCACTTTCAGATCATCCTCAGCTGAAATCTAACTTGCTTTTTTCTTTTTTGTAGTGTTCCAAACTGTAGTTTTTTATTTTTATTTTTAGCTGTACAGTACTAAATTTAGCAATCTGTTAAAAGCACATCATAAGTTGAGCTTGAAGAAAAACTAGCAAAGTTTATTTTTTGACAGAACATCTTAGATTTTCTCAAGTAAGTATCAGCTTATTCTGATTCAAGTAAAGGTCTGTTATAAAGATCTTTCAAGTTAAAGTAAAAGCATCACATTGTGATTGCAAAACCTCAAGAGGAGGGGTACTTCTGTAAATTCAAGCAGTTTCGTATACCATAAGATTATGTGGAATAATATTAAAACAACTCATTATTTGTTTTCTTCAAACTCTACTTATGAGGCTTAAAAAATGTCATTTCATGATTCCATTTCAATCATTCACCAAAGTTTGTGCACATTTGTAAATTTGTGTGCTCTTTTCAAACCATTTCAATAGTGACTATGATTACTAATGCTATTTTTTTATTTTTGCAGTTTTTCAACACATCATCAAGTCAAGAGAATTTAGACCTTGACAATCCAACATTAACCTCCACTCCTGTGTGCACTCCAAAATCTATGATTGCAAATGCACTACACCGTGATCATACTCTTAAACCTCAAAAAGAAAATGATGTGTAAGTTTCTTCATTTTAAAGTATAATGAATGCAAGGAAAGGTGTGGGAAAAAGAGTTATCTGTTACTAAAGGGGTCTCAAAGGAAGTATGCTATAAACTGCTTATGTTTTCTTCTTTATTGTCTCCTGTTTGTCCCCAGGGAGTACATTGAAAGTGTACTTCTTCAGTTCTGTTACAGAAGTTTAAGCAACACAGCTATTTTAGTTTTTTGTCTGATAGCTCCTATCAGATACAGTATGTAACTTGTGCATATCTTAACCCTGCTGTAATACAAAGGTGAATGACAAATATCTTGGGTATTGTCCTGATAGTTTGCATACATTCTGAATTAAATTGTCACAGTTATTTTTGCTTGGAAGAAAATAAACAATCTAATTGTAGAATACAGAAGAAATAACAACAGTGAAAATAATCTAGTTTAGTCAAGGAGCTGTAATGGTGAAATGTGTTTTTAATTTACCTCTTTTTAAAAAAATCAGTTTCAGAACTCCTAACATCAGACGCTCAATAATGGAGACATCTCCACGAACTCCTACCCCTTTCAAAACAGCACTTGCGCTCCAAGAAATCAAATATGGCCCTTTAAAGATGTTGGTAAGATTAATGTTAAAGACATTTGCTATAAATTGATAGAAAAGGCTGGGTCATTATTTTATTGCTCCACTAATTCTAAGCATTACAGTGTATTGGGTTTGACATTTTTGTTTGTAAAAGTCTTTACATTTACCCACATGGCAACATTTACCCAGAGAGCAGTGCATTACTGTACAAAAAAAGAGTCGTGGGCTAAAAAAGTGAAAGCACCCAGTACAGATTTCATCTTAAAACTGATTTCCAGAAAATGTCTATGTTTTATAATACGTTTTTAAAAATTAACTTTATATTACTTTGTGTACTCCAATTCATCCAATTTTAGTTAATTCTGTGGACTTTGTACATTAATGTTCCATTTACTTGGCTTTGGTGGTGTAATTTCTTGTTTCAAGTTTAACCCTTTATAGTGTTTTCAGATATGTTTCTGAAAATTCTGGTTTTGTTCCAGCCCCAAAGTCCCCATCTTGAACAAGACCTGGCAGAAGTTATCAAACAGGAACCTGATGAGTCTGAAGTAACAACAGGGATTCATCAAGACGAACAGCCAGTATTAAAAAAGATTAAACAAGAGGTACTTTCCTTTCATTTGAGAGCAGTGTGCCAGTTTTGCTGTATTTACCTGCGTATCCCTGCAGATGTGCTGACTGCTTTGGTTTTACATGTATTTCAGGTGGAATCCCCCTGTGACAGGAGGAGAAGCTTCCTTCAGTGGGAGGGGAACGGCCTTCCTGCGCAGCTTTTCCCTCAGAACAGCTCTGTGGAAGTTACTCCGGTATGGAGAAATGAAGCCCCCATATCAGAACTTTGGAGGATAATCAAATCATGTTTTCATGAGTTGGTTAGGAAGTATCCCAAATGTCCGAGGCCATGGTTTAGACAAAAACCTGCTTAGGAAGCTCTTTGCTTTGTTGTTTTTACCAGCACAGACAACTCTTTTAAATGCATGAATTCCTGAACAAAGAGAAAAATGTTTTGCTAACACAGTGTTACAGTCTTTTGTTGTTATTAGGGCGACGTGTAGATTTATGTATTCTTCAGTTTTTGCATTTCTTGCCTGGGCTATGAGAGACCATAATATTGAGTTTTTAGGATAACAGTTGGATATGAAAAAACAAAACATGACCGTTGTGGAGAGCTGTGTCGAAAATAAGCATCACAGAAGGTTTAAATTAAGCTTGTTTCCCCCCCACAGAATCTTCTGACAAGTTCAGTGTTAATGATGCCAGTGTCTGACAAAATTGAAGACAACCTGGTAAAAGGGTTTCATGTCCCTCGAAGAACTCTTGGAAGCCCACTACAGGTAAATCAAAATGAATTCCACACATCTAAGAGCATATTTGACGGCATTAAAGCATCATTCAGAAGTTGAATTGTATAATAGAAAGTGTATGACTGCTACTACATTTTTAATTATTTTTTAAACGTATTTAGTAACCTTTATTGTTGTGAATAAGAGGAGTAAAATATACAGTTCTAAGAGCCCGTATTGTGATATACTGTATACAGGCATGAGACATCTAATGTTTAGTGTGGGTGTGTGTATTTCTTTGGGGGAAAAAACATTTAGTTCTAAAAATTGATATTTATTTACTAAATTATTTATTTATTTCTAAATTACCTTTTGTATTTTGTGAACAAAGTGTTGCAAAATGAGATTTAGAGTGTAATGAACAGTATGAACTGATTTATATTTCTGCTTTGTTTGTAGCAACTCAATGCATGGGAAGCAGTTGCTTGTGGGAAGACTGATGATCAAATGCTTGTCACAGAGCAGGCCCACAAATACATTAACAACTTTTCTACCAGGACTTTAGTCATGTAAGGGGTTCAAACTAAGCATTACCAAACAAAACTAATGGAAAGTCAAAATTAAAAAAAAAAAACACTCAACACTCCAGGTTGATTAAGAATCAACATTCCCTCTACTTGAAGATGCTCATGATGTCACAGGGAATCTATTTGTTGTGGTACAACAGTTGGGAGAGGCACATTGCAGTTTGTCACTGTGCATACACTTGTTGGATTTCAACCAACCAAAGATTTTTTTTATGACAAACTTACCTAAATTTCTAGGTAAAACTATTTTGTATCTGTTAAATGTTTATTTTATGGATATTAATATAAAGAACAACTGCGTAATTTATTATTTGTTCAAAGATTGTTTTCTTAACATTGGCAAAACAAGCAGTGTTTCACACCAGTATTCTGTCTTTTCACCTTGCATTAGATGAGATGTGAGCAGGAAAGATGCACAGTGTAACAGTATGTAAAGCCACACGTGGGTTAAATTAAATGCACTGATAGGAGTATTTTGTCAAAGCATTATTACAGACCACTTCACACCAATCTAGACTGGAAATATTTAAAAATATTCCATATTTTAATTTTGGTTTAAAACCGCTATTTTGTGTGTTTGTGTGAGTGTGCTTGCTTTTGTTTTTGTTTTCTACTAGCTTGCCTGAAAATATACTGTATGGAAATTTGTTATATCTGAACAAATGTATTATATTTTTGTTTTATAATTTAATTTTTTAAAATAAATGCCAAATGGAAGAGGATATTTTGCTGCTAAAAATGTTAGCATACCTTTTAGACAGTTAGTGTCAAATGGGCAGTAGAGCTTTACTAAATCAAAATGTACTGCACTAGCATTTGGAGAATTTGTTCTTTAAATGTTGTTTGTAAACACTGTTTTTTGGGAGAAAAGGCCTGGAACCTACACTTTTGGGGAAACACTTTTTATTGTTTTTTATTTCTCTTTTATACACATTAATATTTTTTAAACATGCTTTTTTTTATTGAGAACTGCTGTAGCAACCAGTGACAAACACTTAGCTTATAACCTGTATTATTTGCTGCCTTTTATATTAGCGCTCAGTGGAAATCATTCAAACTTTTTATATGGAAATTCTGAACTGCCTTGTAAATAAAGTGTTTTTTACATATTCTGTTGTTCTTAATTTCAGAAGCATTTATAAAAGCATTTTAGATGCAAAATTAAAACAGAGGTGGTAAAAGAATTTTAAGTAAAATGATTTACTTTAATATGGTAATTAAAATTTGAATTTCATACTTTGCAAATGTCACTTGTTTACATTTCATTTCTTCATTTATAACAACTTAGATAAGGATTGTTCAAACCCAATGATTACAAAATTGCTTGCAATAATTTTAATTTAAAATTCATAACTTCAGGGACATTAAAAAATCAACAAACAATATTGATTACAGTACTCATTTACTGCATTTTAAATGGCTCTCTGTTTATAAATGAAAATCACACTTTCCAATTTCCATATGGGCTGCTGGAGAAATGCAATACAATAGTGGAGAATTTTCAATGAAAACTGTGTTCTTAATATAAAACACTGCATACAGTAGCAATATTCTCAAGCTGCTGATTCCTTAAATATGCATTTATTACTGTTAAGATGACAGTGTCACAATATAAATTAGGGGACTTCTTATCAAATGTTAAGGTTCAGAAACTGCTTATTATTCTAAAGGATTTCATAAAGGTTTCACACTTCATCAGTGACTACTTGCAAAGGTGTATGATAACTTGATAAAAATGCAAATTTTCTAACCGTTCATTTAGTCCATGGGGTTATCCTTTTTCCTCATTTTTTGTGCATGTGTGACTAACAAAAAGTTTTTAAAACTTTTGATGCGAAGGCTGACCCATATTTGAACATATGCCTTTGTGTGTAGCTGTGGGTGTTGTGGTTAAATTCTGGTGCAAGGAGAATGATAGTGCATGGTATGGAGGAAAATCTTTTAAAATGTTGCTTGGGACCTGTAAGACATTTTAAAGCTGCGTGTGTTAATGTGTATGATGCATTAAGTGAAAACACATGAAAAACACTGAAGAATTCAAGAGGAACAGGTCAGAAAACACACCAGTCACATTGAGACTGTGTCATGAACAGCAGCTTAATAGTAACTGATGGATTTTGAAAGGAGCCTTGTAATAATAGTTGGTTTGAGAGCTAATCATAAACATGAGTGGGTTCAGTGTTGAATCTAGAAAGTCTTTGTCCTTTTGAAAAAAAGAATATAAGACATTTTTTAATCATATCTTGTATTCTTAAGGTCAATGATATGGAGATTATTTCCTATGAATGAGAAGATAAGTCATTTTTGCTACCGTGCTGGACTGATTGCTGACTTGGGCAACACAGACACAATTGCTCCTTTCTTTGTTCACCTGGTGTTCAGTAGCAGTGCAGGTGGTTTCATCCAGCACAGGAATTCTGATTAAATCATATTGTTGAAACCACAACAATGTCCAGACATTTGGTGTTTTGGCTTGGCTGAGGATACAGCAAAGCTTTTGTGGCTACATCTAAATAACTCTAAATCAGAATCCCTGCCTAAAATAAGCCTACTGGATTCCTCATTCATTTTGCTAAGAAGATACTGCTGTCAGAAGGAAATATTAATGGTTATTGGGACTGTGGAACTGCCCTACACTAACTGCTGTCACAATGACTTTGTTCACTCTAATTCAGATTTCAACTTTAGACTGAAGCTTCAGTTCAGTCTTCATGATTATCCTGTAGATGGGCATCACATATTCTGGATCAACCATAACATTTTTTGTTCATTCAAGGTGAGATTGAGATTATGATTTTCCAGACCAAGGTCTCTGAAGAACTGTCCAAACCTGACTTTCTAAGACAAAAATCTTATTGTAATGTATCTACAGTAAGACAAAAGTGATTGTATTGCAGAGAAATCAGTATACATGCCTTGCAAACGTATTTAGATCAGTTTTCACTTTTTGTTTGCTTTAAAGCTTGCTGTCATAACATTTCAAAATAACAATCAATATTTGTGGTACACACAACCTATTTAAAAAAATGGTAGTGCATCTTATCCCCAGACACTTCCTACATCTGGCCATTGCTCCAAACTGAGCAGCCAAGCACAGAGGAAAGTGTCGAAGGATACCATTGTACCAACAACAACTGTGAAAGAGCTACTGAGTTCAAAGTCTAGGATGGGAGATAATGTGCATCAGTTAATAATACCCAAAACGTTTGACAAAATGTGTGTTAATTACAGGATGGCAAGAATTACTTATAGCTGCTCCATGCTAAGGGAAGGCTGCTCCTCTGCAGTAAAGAGTGAAGGGAAAAATGCACTTTTCAGGAAGACAATAATCCAAAGCATGAGGACAAATCTGCACTGGAGTGGTTTCAGAATAAGGAAGTGAATGTCCTTGAGCAGTCCAGTAAAAGTCCTGACTGGACTCTAATTGAAAATATTTGGAAACATCTAATTGCTCTCCAGAAGTGACCCACAAGCTACCTGAGGTTGAGTTAATCTGCCATTAGGAATGGACCAAATTGCACCAAACTAGTGTACTAAGTTGGTAAGGCTTGCCCAGAAAGACCTGAGGTTGTAATTGCTGCTATAGGTGCTTCCACCAAATATTAAATTCACAGATCTGTTTCAACAGATATGTATGCATCATTTTGTATTTAAAAAAAATGGGACACCATAGGAATTGTCTGAATGCTCTTCTATCTGTTCCTTTTGTCATTACATTTCTTTTCCCTTGGCTTTGTGTACGAAACCTTACCTATATTTTCTAATTCAGCTTTTTCTAATTTTCTAATTGCTCACCAGATTTTCAGGAATATTTATATTAAAGCTGCTGTAGAACACCTTTTCTGAGAATTTTGTCCTTTGCATATTAAAATAATTGAAAACCACTTGTGACATATGTTTTGTTTTTAATACTGCAAAAATAATAATGCAAAAAAGTAGGACCTAATAGATCCTATTTTTTTGCAGTCACCAAAGATAAGACTGACATAAAACTGTGCAAATGAATAGAGATTGATTGATGATCAATCAATCTGAATAATCATGTCATAGATAGCTATCTAGAGGAATGAACTTAGATTGCCGATTTTCAATACCCCTTTTGGATCTTTATTCCTGTTCTATTTTTTGGTTCTTCTTCTAAGTGTTTTATTTTATATTATTTTTTTTATTATTTTTTTGGGGGGAATAAGTGTTTAACATCTGTTTTTGCTTTTAGCTGTATTGATTAATGGAATACAAAATGTCCATCAATCATTTTGCAAGATAAAGGTTTTCAAAACAATGTTAACAATTCTATAAACATTTGAACACAACCATAAATACAGTGTAATCGCATAGCTTAAGTGTTTAGTACTAACACAGCAGTCCAGCACCTGCCATTCCTCCTCTGATCATGGGATTACAAGGACAGAGGAGATGAGAAGCCCAAACACAGTTACAGGTACTGTATGTGTGTAACTGGTTACATGTAGTTTAGATGGAAAAAAGAGCACCATCTTGCCAATATTTGCTACTCATACATGGTGAAATGTTATTTTTCCTTCTAACTGTTCATGTTGCTGTTCAATTTGGTCTTTCGCTTCTAAATTAAAAGTCTCAATGACATGGCACTTGAAGGTTTTGTCAAAGATATGAAGTCCAGTTTAGTCTCTTGAGGAAAATCACTTCCTTCAAGAAGGAAGGAGGGGGCCACTGTTGTCTATATTTAAAAAGTCCCCATTTTCACATCCTCGTTGGCCACCTGCCCGCCAAAAAACAATCAAGTTAATTTGATGCCAGCCTTATAAAAATATTTTATTCTATTTTTGATGTAATATTTTAATATATTTGAAAAGCCACAATTAAAAAATAACGATAGAAATGGTTTAATGCTTTGCCTTTTATTTTCTGAAAAATCAAACTGGCAACATTTGCAAACCAGCAACATGGTTCTGTGGATATTCTGAATACATAGAATACTTGGTCGCTACCGGGGGATTTCAGATAGTGAGAACTTGGCGATACATTATGTTGGTACCAATTCAGAGCTTGAATGTGAAAAGAACTATAGTCCAATTGCATTAAACACTAATGCTTTTACCATGAAGAGATTAATTTATTTCTGTTCTTGTAATCCTTTTCAGTCTTCTGATAGGACTGTCTACTTATTTGTTCGCTCTACTCTGTGATTGTGTTGCTGTGTTCTTAAAATTGTCTATTTAGCAGGAATATGACGATGACTGCTAACCCTACTAAAACAGCAGAGTGGTTTTTCTTCACACCCCTCTCAGACTATTTAGAGTTCAAACTGTAATTGGCATTATATGACACCCCAAATTTAGGAAGCAGTCAGTACTGCTGTGGGTTAGCAGGACTAAAGAAATGTGTGAAAAGAAGCTCTTTTTCAAACATTACCAAATAACAAGAATGTAGCACAAGCATAATGTCTTGCTCACGGGAAGCTGGAGATATTCATTTGCAGGACACATGCTAATAAAAAAGGAAACAATGTAGAATATAGTTACCATATGTTTCAAAATATGTACGTAAGAGACACCATAGTTCTGTGCAGAGGAGGAGCAAAGGAATATATGAGTCATTAGATAATAAGTGA